ATACATGCGGCCCCATCCACCCTCGATCCAACAACAGCAATCATCACTTCCTCACATACATTGACGCGGCATCCCGGTACGTCATGCTTTATTTTCTCAAAACGAGAAGCGAAGTCAGCACCATCATGTCACAATGTTTTGCCCTAATTAAACAAAGCAACCGTCTTCCGCGTATCTACCGCACCGATAACGCACGCGAATTCAAGTCCAACCACGCATTACAGAGATACGCCTCTTAAGGCATCAAGTACGAGAATAACACCCCGCACCAACCCCAGGAAAATTCCATCGCAGAGAGAATTAATCAAAATCTCATGAACGCCGCCAGAGCCAACTTCCATCACGCCAACCTCCCTGAAGCGTACTGGGAAGACGCAGTACACGACGCGTACAAATATAACATCATCCCCCACCGCGCAACCGGCCAAGCCCGCCACATCCTGTGGCACACACGACAAGCCCAACCCAAACAACGTTTAATCTTCGGACAAAAGGCACGATCCCCATCTACGGTACCAAAAAGAAACTTGACACACGCAGCCGTACAGTACGATATATGTACTCCAACAGCCCCCAATCGATCACAGTGCAAGACACGCACACTCACAAGTACCACATCACTCGCACGCAGGACCTCCATCCTTACAAAAAAGCACACTACCCCGCCGTCAGCACTACAGTGGTCCTCCGCACCTCACCAGCTACACCAATCCCACTCACCACACCCGACCGACGCCGCAGACAGGAAGCTAGAACTTACCCAGACGCGGCCCAAGGGGCACAAGCACACCACGCAGAACTGGATAAATTAGGCAAAATCGAAACCATCCGATGGCTAGCAGACACACAGCTCCTCACGCATACAAAAACGGTACTCCTCACAATGACGTTTCGATACATTCGAGACCACTCCGGCACCGTCACCGAACGCAAAGCGCGATGTGCAGCCAGAGGCGACTGCATGACCCCAGGAACGCACTACGATCCAGAGCAAGTAACGACCTATATGACAGACAAGATCACAGTACGCCAACTGCTCGCCATCGCCGCCTCACACAACTGGTCCCTCGGGCACATGGACATCAGCTCAGCATACCTCCACGAAAATTCCCCGAGACGAAACCAGTGTGTATCAAACAACACCCCCGCTTTGACGGGACTCTCAAACATCCAGGCAAAGCGAGACTCCTCATGTGCAATATATATGGCACACCGCAGGCACCACGCATTTATCACAACGGACTGTCCAAGCACCTGACATCACACGGATACAAACCTACTCAAGCAGACCCCTGCCTCTTCTACAAAAAATCCGAACAAGGTCTCATCCTCGTAGCCATTAACATGGATGACTTTCTCTCAGTGGCATCCTCCTAAACGCTGCAAAACAAGATCCACGCCGTCCTCACAGCCAAATACAAAATCAAACGCCTTGGATTTCCAGCAGAGTACCTCAAATGGCACGTACAACGCCTCCACAATGGCGTCATACACATATCCCAACCCACCGTTGCCCGAACCATACTCACTAAAACGGGCATGCTCTCCTCCAACGCAAAGCACACATAGCTACTACCCAAAGTGACATTCACATACACACGAGAGGATCCACTCCTGGATCAACAGCAATCATTCCTCTTCAGACAAAAAATCGGCGATCTCCGCTATTTAGCGGACAGCACCAGACCCGATATACACCCCGCGGTCAGCATGCTCGCATCCGTCATGCACAACCCGGCACGAACGCACAAAAACCATCCCCACTGGCTGCTGCGTTACCTAAGCGGTACAGAACACCACGCCATCCTGTTCAAGGCAAGCACACCGAACGCCCATCCCAGCCTCCGCACATACAGCGACTCAGATTTCGCCAATGACCACGCACGCCGCTCCAGAACAGGAGTGGTACACATGTTCCACGACGCCCCATCAGCTGGACCTCGGCAACGCAACCCGTAGTCGCCGACTTCACGTGTGAAGCCGAATACTCGGCAGCCACGGAGGCAACACAACAAGACCATTGGCTTCGCCGCCTCCTCGTCGATGCCCACACGCCGGAAACCCAATCCAACCCCTGTTCGTAGACAACAAAGCCACAATCCTCGCCGCCCAAAACTCGGCTCCAACCAACGCCGAAAATTCATTGACACCAAACACCACCTCATACAGAACCACAAACAAAGAGGAACGGTCAAGATTCAACACATACCATCCAAGGAAAACATAGCCGACTACTTCACACGACCCCTCGGACCCCAAAGCACCCAAAACCTACTCAACAAACTCAGCCTCGTCGACCCAAAACCCCTATCGGCCAACCCGGGGACTGTCAGACCGCACAATCACATTCACTAATAGTCATTTTTGTAGTTTCAGACCGCACAGGACAGTCTATCCCTCAGGAAACAGACTTAACCAACGAGCGACGACGAGTAAACGGGGAATCATCAGTCTCCTGTTCACACATCTTTTTTACAAAAATACATATATTAAATTGAACATTTAAAAATATATGTTGGTCACTACTATTTCCTCAGCGTTCTTGTTTTTGAAAGTAATGTCTCGCAGAACACCGGGATAGCAGCTTTGAAGACGCAAAAAGATTAAAAATTTAATGCAAATTGAGTGCATAGATCCCTTTTTAACGTAGCGTTTGTGATTTCGAAGGTATTTTCCATACGGTTTTAAGGTGGTTTACAAATATTCTTTTCCAGATATGATATAAATCATAAATATATGATTTAAAGGGGGCCAGGAAGGGCATGTAATTATCGAAAAAGTCTTCCTGATCCTTAGGCAGAAGTCTTGTACGATTGCGGGGATAGCTTTCTCTTTCTTGTCGAGAAAGCGCAAGTTAAGAAAAGTATGTCGAAAAGTGTCCTCATTTGAGAAAAGGTCTAATTTGTACTAGTCCCATCTACGTTAGAGAGGAAATGACTAGACATCCAGTTTCGGAAATATGGGCCATGCTTTTTGACTTTAGATGAATGCCGCTCCATCGCTCTCTTCCTGGCCTCGTTGGGAAGCAAATATATTACTGTGGTTGGTTCTGGTGCCTACAATTACTGGAAGCAAGGTTCGAACTGAAGAAAGTGCCATAAACGAACTCCTCTGCCACTTAAACTGCTACAGGAGCATCTCAATTTGTGAAAGACGCAGCGCTTGAACCTGAACAAGTCCTTTCTATCCGCAATGACGTGATTTTGCGGTCTCAATCTTCTGCTTTTATAGAATTCTCAGTTGTTTTTGGTGTGCCATGCACAGGCCCTCCTGCGAACTTGTATCGGCCCTACATTAGGAAGCGATTTGCACCCCGCGCGTGCTTTAGTCCCGAACACACGCTGATGGAAGGGGTGTCCTCCTCGGCTAGAGATTTCGTCTGCGTCGCCACACAAACTCTACGGCTTCTCGTCAGTTGGTAATGTGTCAGAAAATGTCGAGGCTGAGGGCTCTTCCGTACTGCAGCATTGCATGTGGTGAGTAGTTTTCGGTGATTTGCATTGTGGAATATTTGTAGAGATAGAGCCGCCCTGTTTGTCTCTACAACAGCGTCTCTGACCTTCTGTTTCCCTTTGCCGGGGGTTGAATTTTTGTTGGAACGCGTAGAGACTGCTGCGGTACCAGTTGATGAAACAGACGAAGATTTGACAATCAAGTCTATCATCAACACGCGGACCTGTGGCCAGACGCGTTCGAATGTCAGATCACCGATGGGTACTGCCTCGGTTTTTCGCTGAAACATGTACTCTATCATCCTTGACAAATTCCCTGTAGTGCGTCCCACAGAGATCGCTATAGAGTACGATCAACGAATCGAAAAAGAAATCATCCGAATTGGCCCTGCAACTATCCCTCATGTGCTTACGCAGATCAGCTAATAGCCTTTCTCTTCCGCACCTATCTATTTTGCCGAAACCAGAATGGGCCTGTGTGTACTACACACAGGCCCATTCTGGTTTCGGGCTACCTACACACTGTGTAGGTAACAATGGAACAGCCCCTCAAACTCACTATGAATGAAAGTGAAAGATACAGATGAAAATGTGTGTTCCATTTTCTTTTTGCATGTGCCTCTGAATGGATTAATTTTCGTAGAGGAGATGGACATAATGCTGGAAATCATTGGGTGAAGATGGAGCACATCAACCCTTGGGGAAACACATGAGGGGGAGAACGAGTTTGTGTTCGGTTGTTGATGCCAGCCCAAACCGCTATGGTCGACACAAGGATATGTCCCGGGGAAAATCTCGCCTAAGCCACAACCAATTGAAAACGGCATAGTGGCATGTACTGAGATTTGCATAAATTTGAACGTGAACTGGTGAGAGAACGAATCAGAATCTTGAAACCTCGGGAGCAGTCTTTCGTCTCAGATTGATCGCAAAACAGGCTCAGTATTTATCTGCTACAAAGTAGCAATTAGTGACAAGAAGATCTCCATGTGTTTATTACCTCAGGACTTCTTTATCTCATCTGAGCCCAATGTATTACCGCCTGAGGCAGACACCTGCCATTTCATCAATACTCTTCTCAGATATAGCTCACATTTACAAAGCTCAAACCAATGAGAAACCTGTTTGTGTCCTTATATTGGATCTGCCGGAAGTTTGCAAGAGGAATCTTGTAGAGGTTATTAATCTGCGACCTACACTGCTCTGTTTTTATGCCAAAACCGTGCTATGTTGCTACCATCATTTGAATGAGTGCGTGTGAAAGGCCATAACGCCCCCTGCCGTTTTAGATCTCGAGGCCTCGTCTGTCCATATTACTACGGTACGGCAAGAAGCGAGGATAAGTTATTCCGCCCTCAATGTATGGTGCTCCTGTGTTTCTAATATGTTTCTATCCTGTTGCCGGTATTATGTTTCTGACCTAAAAGCTGAGGCTGTATCAATGAATTAGAGCGATACTGTATGTTACACAACGATAGTTACGGGGGCTGTGAAAGCAGTATAAATAGTATCGGTAGGTACTGTGAAAGTAAAGAAAGCCAGCCCTGCCACAGAATCATTTCAACTCTCAATCACGAGAACCGAGTTGGTCCATCGAAGAGTCGTTTGCAACTTTCACCAGATCAAGCATGATGCTCTCCAGTGTTGTTTTCTCTTTTTGCTTCATACCAATCCTGGGCAACCTATGCCAAGAAAACTCTGCAACCTACCACTTCAGGTTAGGCGACATTCGCGGCACAGTGCTATACGATGGACCTCTAACATTCTCAACAAATCCGTTTTTCGTACCTTTCGAGGCCTTGCGCTCTACATACAAAGCATGCTTTCGCCCAATAGAGCCCCTTACCCTGTCTCAGAATGTCCTCTTGTTAGAAAGCAAGGTCGGGCGTGTCCTCGTTGACCCGGGATCTCGAGGAGGTCAAGCGAATCCGCTCCTAGCCTCGGGCGGCCTCCTATTCCGAAATATGCGCGCGGCAGGAATACTTCCAGAGTCTATAGATCACATTTTTCTAACTCATGCCCACGCAGATCACGTCAGTGGATTGTTGGGCCTGGACGGTGGTCGAGCATTCCGGAATGCGAAGGTTTACATAGGAATCAAGGAACATCGCTTTTGGATCACAGAGCCGCTTCCTATTTCCGAGGATCATCCACTGAGAGACACACTTCGTAAGTCGTACATGCCGCCATAACAGTTGCTTTCCGGAGCCAACTTCTTTCGCAAGGAACTAACGGACGGTTTCAACATCTCTTGTCGTGGACGCAAAGTGGGCTTTGCGCGTACCTATCGTCAAAGTATTGCCCCTTACGCATCCAGACTCGTTCTGGTTCGCGACGGCGGCGCGCCGCTACCAGGATTTCGCTTTTTGCCAAGCCCAGGGCACAGCCCGGGTCACAACCACATACAAATAGCGTCAAAAGGAGAAAGCCTCATTGTTTCCGGGGACGCATGGATGTCCAAGGTACGCAGGATCAGCAATGTGCGTAACCATTCAATTTCTGATTTTTATACTTTATTAACAATTTTCGATTCTTTCTCGTTTTTTGAATATTTTGTTGAAAAGCCCGATCAACTTCAGAACCCCAGCTGGCAAGTCGGGACGGAGTCAGACCCGCTAAATGCTCGCCGTTCGAGAATGAAACTAATAAGGCAAGCGGCTAAGAACAGATCTTTGGTTTTTGCTTACCATGAGGCGTTCCCAGGTCTTGGATATGTTGTGAAAAGTCGCGAAGGGTCTTTTGATTGGGTTGTCGCCCCGCCCATACTCATCGGAACGGGCGTGGTTCAAAAGTGTACCTCATGATTCTTATCATTTGATTCTTTTGGTCTTGTGATCTGGGATCATTTTATTCTTAAGATAGAGGTTGGATAGTTTCTAAGAAACTGACGGCCGTCTTGAGAAGAAGAGCCGTTGAAGCGCGAGGTATTTCTGTGGATTTAGGGATGATGCGATCATGATCACAATCTCGCCGGGTACAAAAATTGGACCGCAGGAGACACAGCGAACATACAGGAGGGTCAGGTAATTATTAAAGGAGAACTAAATCTTGGAACTGTGTGCCATTTGCCTACAACCCCTTGCTCTTTGCTCCCAATGCATTGGAACACCTTGCGGTCACACTTTTCACAGGACATGTCTTTCTAGAATGATGCAATTCCACTCCGAGAGCGTCACAAGTAGAAGGCATCTTCCTTGTCCTCTATGCCGAGTGCAACTCTCCACAGATGTCGTAAATGCGTCTCTTGTCGAATCGGGTCTTCCGGCTGGAACGGAGGAGGATATACGAAACCTACTGGAAGAGTACAATAGTCCCGCGCGACATGGAGAGACCAGAACTCGTCGGTCCCCTGGTCAGATTTCTAGAACTATGGTTCGGGGGCGGCAAAGAAGGCGAGGAGGTGTGCGGTCGCGCACAACGTCGTTGTGAGTTAGTAGGAGATACCTAGACATGCAACTGACGGAAAAGCCTGCGCCAGGGAATGCAAATTCAGGTGCGAGAACAGCGTGAACTCGGCGAGCAGATGCGAACCCTTGAAAGAATTTTGGGTGTACATCAATTTCAGGCTGATGCTAGTGTGAGATATGCGGAATTGTTGAACAGAGTTTTACGATTGGGGCGCCGTCAACGGACTCTGACCAACCTTCTCACCGGCGAGCGTACATATCCTAGAACAAGGGAAAGAATTCTTGCAAAAAAAATAGCTGTCTTCATATGAGGACAGCGCCGTCCTCACATGAGAACAAGCGCAGGTCGGACAGACGCTATTCGCGTATTATTCATGATATAGAGGTATAGAACCTGCCTCTCTTGATAATTGTAGTTGCAGCGCCTCATCAGAAGAGTGTATTCAAAAGTTGACGCTTGACAACGCCATACTCTGTTTTGCGTAGAGAGCAATCTGAATACCACGCAATTCTATGAATGCAAGTTGCACACAGACGGAACAGCGTACGCCCTGCATCCCCGGGCCTCGTATGATAAACCTCTTCAGTATCAAGCCACGCAACACGGTGGAGATCCGAGATTCTTGAACAGATGACAAGCATGCATGGAACTATGTATCGAAATATCAGTGCGATTGCATCCGCTGTTTATTATTGTCTAAATATCAAATCGATTGTGTCCATTGACAGAAATGTATCCACAGCAGTGTATGGACATGACCGCAGATGACATCCTCCAAAATGGTAATGAGTACTTTGGGTTGAATTGCAAAAATAGGGAGAGATAGTACAGAGCGCAGTTCAACACACGACTTTCTTCTGTGTGGTGTACGGTAGTAGGCGTCTTTTCACTACGCATTCCTGCCTGTATTCAACCTACACGTTCGATACTATTTCATCAATTTGTAGAAAGAGACCACGGCCTCAATATCTGGGCTGGTGTAGAAATAAAAGTTTTTAATTTCCTCATTTGCGCAGGTTGTCCATGTTACATCTCTATTGAAGATATCCGTTTCGAAACAGCCGAATGGACTTTTTGGTCTGTGCGACGGACGACGGATGTGAGCTTGTACCGCCTGGAAGATTCGTCGTTCTCAGCCAGTACTTTCTTCAGCGATATTTCTCGAGAAACCTCCACAGCACCGCGATGTACGATGCCATTCGATGCCAATCGGTCAACGTGGGCGACCAGCCATCTTGGTGCGGAGTCTATTTTCGTGTTGGCCATTCTGTATAGTCTTCTGTATCTATACAGGTACAGGTGTAGTCCACCACATGCAGGCCGAATACATTTTGCCCAAATAACTTCATCAAGAAAGGAATCTTGAATGAGATTTTCTACTTTCAACATTACTGAATGTCCATTTGGCCTTGACAATCCTCTACAGCCTGGAAAGAGAACATGTACACCAACTTCATGGTGCTTTGGCCGGACATACTTACGCATGCATTTCGTGCAAACGGACTGACATGACGAGGCAACGATGTGCACATGAAAATCCGCCAAGAATTCGCTCAGGTCCACAAGAATTTATGTTTTCTCGAAACTTGTTTGAGATCTCCACGCCCCCCGACGCACCAGCAATGCAGCTGTCCAGACTACCGCGCAATCGCCTTCAAGAATCTTTTGATGCCCACTCACCTCTCTGCGTCTAAACTTAATTTAATTGTTACCGACCAACAGCAGGCAAGTACAGATCAATCCTCCAAATCCAATGTCTTCATTTTGCTAAAAAACGGCCGTCATAGACGCACACCCCAGTTGCTTTCGAATCCTTATGGGTTCAAGTGCTGCAAAGAGGGAGAGATTCACCAAGTTATGAGATATCTTGTGCACCTGTTTCTCTATAGTGTCTCAGGTTGAGAATGAAAAACATTAATATTGTTCGAATTGTCGTGACGCATCAAATCCACGAGCAGCCGCATATTTTTTGGGGGTTTCGGAAGCCCCCACTTCCACGATCTCACAAAAAAGCTTCCCTATGACGCAATTACTCCTTTCTGTCAGTTCAGCTCCAAGCACATATCCCTTTCCACCTCCCAACCGGGACACATGCCGACACTGATAATCCTATTTTTTGTTAGAAAAATAGTTTATGTGTCTCGAGATGAATACATTGTACGGCAGCACAAGAAGAGATAATACACATGATTACGGCAAGAAAGCCTTGAGCACGAAGATTGAAAAGGTTAGGGCAATGGTTGCGTGTGTTGAGTCCTTCTCCGCCACGAAGATTTGGCCATCCCTTTTCATAACTACGAGCATCCGTATCTCTGATATCGAGAACAAACTGCAGGACAGTAGAGTGCGTGATTAGGGACAACAGGGATACTTTAGAATATTCTTTAGAGTACTTTTAGAAAAGTTGCAAAGTAGAAGTTGTCAGATATCACCGTGACGTTAGTTGCAACGGGGCAACAATCTCGGCAGCCCTAGGCATCCTCCTCAATGCCTTGCACATCAACAGATTGCAGTGCTTGAAATACTGGAAGGTGCGGAATTATCGCCTTCAAAAACATAAGACCATATCCGTCGCCGTGTTTATAAGCCAAGATGTGCTCTCTTTAAGCTATCTGTTTTACCGCATTAGCGTTCTTACGCAACCATCTCATCATGGTAGCCCGTTGTGCCACTTTCCCTATCCTTGTAACTCTCTTACTCTTCCGTGTTGCACATTCCATCCGCTGCCAGCACAGCAAGCACTGCACAACTGATGATCCCAAACTTCTAGGCTTATGCGCCCCACGCCATCGCGTGTGCTTCACCATTCCGCATCCAGCTCGTCACATTACCGACGACGACGATCACGACGACGAAGACGCCCCGTTGTTTGTCTCCTTGTCCGAATTGATCGAGGAAGCTAACGCTGACAAACTTTCCGTCGCTGCCAAACGCGACGTTATCGACGCTGTCAAAACCATCTACATGGACGTCAACCCGCACCGATTTCTACATGAAAACCTCCTCAAGATCGATTTTCCGGCCGCGCTGGACAGCATTGACATCACCGAAGAAATGACCAATGTCGAGTTTCATGAGAACATGATGAATGCCTTTCAACTCATGGATGACTATCATTCAGTATTTCTCGCGCCGGAACCGTTGAGAACTTCCGTCGCCACGCTTGGCTTCGCCGTCGCCAAGTTTTTCGAGGAAGGATCCAGGCAACGACAGTATATCGTCAATGATTTGCTCGCAGAGCTCATACCATCCAATTCTTCCTTTGGTATCGGATCAGAGCTACTCCTTATCGATGGTGTGCCCATCGACAAGTATGTTCTCACTCTCGGTAAGAATTCTTCTGCCTCCAACCTAGCAGCCCAGATCGATTCTGGCATTTTTCTGGTGTCCTTCCGAACTCTAGCGTTCGATCCTATTCCTTTCAGTTCAACTGTCGATATAGTTTATCTGACAACAGAGGGAATCAGGAAATCGATCACGCTCCCATGGTTCTTTACCAAACTTTACACCCAAGAGGCCGCGGACACCATGTCCCATGCAGTGCATCCTGCTGCATATCAACCACTGCATGGAAGGCCCAATCGTGTGGTTTTCTCCGAAGCGGACAAGCGCAAGTTGTACGAAGAAGTTACCGCAGAGCCGTTAGACATCACTACGCGAGTCATCGAGAACGGCCGTGTGCCAATCGAGGTTTCATCCGAGTTCACTGAGCGCTTCACCGCAGAAGTGATTCTAACCAAATCCGGTCCGATCGGTCGATTTGTAATACCAGATTTCGGAGCTAGTGTGTCATTGGAGCTAGCTCTGGAAATTGCTCGCATCCTGCGCCTCATGCCCCTCAACGGATTGATCATGGATCTTCGATCCAATGCAGGGGGAGATGGGGACTACGTCAAGTTGCTCGCTGAATCGCTAGTAAGCGAGACCGTGCCGCCTAACCCAAATACACTCCGAGTGTCCCAGTTTCTGCAAGACCTGTTGCTGTCGGCAGACACGAAAAATGTGACCGCGGAGGAACTTATTCTGCTTCCCGCGGTCATCCGCGCGCTAAACACATCACTTGCTATTGGTGAGCAGTTCACAGGTCCAACTGTTGACATATATTCTTCAGAGTTCAGGGAACGATTTGCTCCTCGGGCGTACTTTGGCCCTGTGCTAACCCTGGTGGATGGAATATGCTACTCTGCCGGGGATTTATATACGTCCTTGCAAAAAGACTATGGGTTTTCGCGTGTAGTCGGTGTATCGGACAACGTTGGAGCTGGGGGCGCTTCCGTTTATCGATACTCTCAACTTGCTGAGTTATTCCCGCAAAAGATAAAGAAGGTGGAATCTGAGTTCACTATGGCATATGTGCGCTTCTTCCGAAGCGGGACGAGTAAAGGTGCCATAATAGAAAACTTCGGAATTAAGCCAGATGTGCGGTACTATCCGACCCGAAATGATGCCTTCTCGGATGACTGTGACTTGTACGAGTTTTTGGGTAGCATGTTGAAGGATATGAGAGAAGAAAAAGACGGGACCAAAATCGAACGGGAGGAGTTCGACGCCACGTCTGAGGAAGAGCCAATGCCAGAAGAAGGGCTAACGCTAGAGGAAGGGCCAACACCAGAGGAATAGGCGATGCCAGAAGCTTTTGATTAAGAGAACGACGGGCAACTAGAAAAAGCAAATGCTATCTATCCTAGGCAGTACACAGCTTGAAGGAAAGACATACTCTAATAGTAGCATTAGTATGACATACTTTGTGCAGAAGAAAGCGAGTTGCTCGGGATGGCGCTAACCCGGAGGAAACAAGTGATGACAAGTATAATGGATAGTTAGTTAAAAACATATTCGTGTTGAAGGTAGAGCAACACGGCTGAGTACAGTGCGTCTGAATTGGTAGATGAAAGGCAAACCCCGGTGGTTAGCAAAGTCCTAGCACAGGTGCAAGAAGCGGCATAGTTCTGTGCGAGGAGAGGAGTGGAGGGGAAGAGGTGAAACTAAAGATAGGGCTCACCGCAGATTTCAAGATGACGACTCCGAACAGTAGAGAAGTTTGAATTTAATTACGGTACTGCTGTTACCGATAGCGGGGGCTACAAAAAGTGGCACGTGAGCTAAAGATAAATATTGGATATCGTTACTATTAACAGGCCCTAGTGGGGGCCAGCCTATATCGCAGGACCATTATGATAAGAACATGTATTAGTATTTGCTATACCGGCCGGGTGTTTGTCGCGTAAAGGTGGATATCTTGGTAACCGCTTGCCCGTTTTCTATTCTGTTGTCATATTCTTACTCAGCGCGGCACGTGCCAGATACACAGCAATGCATGTCATGTTTACTTAAAAATTGGACCCATTTCCTGAGACGAGAAGTGGTGTAGCTGGGGTTCTGTCTACCCTGTATTCTTTATTGGGTTGAGCGCGTTCTGCTTATATACTGTTTAGGTTGCGTGTAGCTCTACTACGGGAAAAGGGTGTTGATAGAGTTCCCATTCGGTCAATCAACTGTTCCGACGGCCACAAGGTATACGCATTTCCCATGACAATCATGAGCAGTATGGTGCCAACTGTAGCAACTTGTGGGGAAAAACAGAAAGAGAAGGTACCTCGCACAGACGGATAGACGCTCCCGTTGTCCGATGCCTTTATTTCCCTGGAGGCTGCACAGCGCTCCGGGATTTATAGACCTCCATTACGAGGTACCCGCGCTACGAGCACACGCCTGAAAGGTCGTGCAGCGCTTAACATGAGCAATTAGGCATGAAGACGAAGAATTACATAGTTCCAATTTTCCCTTAGGTCATGACGGGCACTGCAATTAACTCTTCCAAGTGTTATCCCGTACAAAGGTTGGATGCTATCAGCAAAAGACAGTAACACCTTCTGTGGCCTCTGTACAGTCGTAAGCGGTGTACGGCTGTGCACAACTGTGTAACATCTAATTAATGCTCACGCACAAATTATGGTCCGAAGGGTCATCGATATCCATATCGATATGTACAGACACGTGTACCATTTCCTTGAGTTGAATCTTCCAGGCGAATGATTACACAACCTCCTAAGGCTTGTCGCCTTCCCTTTGTCCCATTTGTAGTGAGAGCATTATTATACCAAAGCAATCATTGTTGTACTGTATACTTGCAAGAGCATTACTGCCCGCAACACTCCTCCTTAATGCGATTGTTACTCACATTCTTGTATCTGTAGCTTTTGTCGAAGATACAGCGTACGAGGGGCGGAAAGACCCTTCGTGAGTGCATCTGCAATCATATCACTAGTAGGACAGTAGCACATATTAATACTGCCGTCCATTGTTGCCTCTCTCACGAAGTGAAACCTTATGTGGACATGTTTGGCCATTTTCTCTCCTGATGCCCATTTGATTGCCCCTGTATTGTCTTCATAAAGGACAGTAGGAAAATCCGAGAGCAGGCTTAGTTCCTTGAGAATCATCCTGAGCCATTTTGTCGCTTTGACACATTAGGATATCGAGATGAATTCGGCCTCCGTTGAGGACAGGGCAACTCCTCCCTGTTTCTTGCTCTTCCAAACAACAGGTGTGCCATTCACTGTCACTACGATTCCACTAGTTGACTTCCTGTCTGATACATCACCCGCCCAATCAGCGTCTGCAAATGACTCGACAATAGGGGGAAGCGCGTCTTTTCACCACTTGAAATGCAGCCCAAGCGAGGCCGTCCCGTTTAGATATCGCATTATACGTTTCACCCCGATCCAATCTGCCTGGTTCGGGTCTTCACACGTACGGGCAAGTATCCCGACGGCAGCCGAACTATCCGGTCTAGTTCGAGTTGATATGTATAAGAGGGCACCAATTGCTTCTCTGTAGCGACCTATGCTAGGATCGCGTTTCATCCTTTGTCCTTGGTGCTTGTTTCTCTCAGGCGAAAGCGGAGTGCTGACAGGTTTACAATCAGCCATTCCGAAGACCTCCAGAACTTTCTTTATGTAGTACTCTTGACGTAGAGGTACACCTTTGGAAGTATAAACAAACTCCACACCGAGGAAGGATTTTGCAACCCCGAGATCAGTCATTCGAAACTCATTCATCAGCATTTGTTTGACGGTAAGAACTGCTCCCTCAGTAATTCCGACAACGAGGGCGTCGTCAACATAGACGAGGACGTACACTGTGCTTCCTTCGATGTCAATAAAATAGAAACACTCTTCAGATTTAAGCTGCACAAATTTGAGGCGGTGCATTACTGCGTTCCATGTTTTGCTCCATATCTTCGGAGCACGCTTAACGCCCCGTGTTGACCCATAATTTCAAGGACGAGACGAACTGTAGAAAAATCCACGACAGGAGCATACACGTTATCCACGTGTCCCTCTTGAAATCCTTTCGTCACAAGTCTTACCTTGTAGCGGTCCACGGACCCATCTGCCTTGAGTTTCAAGACAAAAACCAACTTCGAGTCAATTGCCCTAGCACTGAGCGGTAGTTGTACAACTTTCCAGGTATCATTTCTCTTTAAACACAGAATCTCCTCCTCAACAGCAGCGATCCATTTGGAGCGATTCTTGCTAAGAAGAGCTTCGGCGAGACTGGTTGGTGTTTTCTCATAATTTTTATATGCCGAAACAACCAGTGCGTTGAACTCACTACCTAGCCTCTCAGGCGGGTTGCGAACTCTTGTGGGATATCTCCTACCGTCGCCCTCAACTTCAGTATCGACAGCATTGGGATAGTAAGTCAGGTTCTGTTCTGTAGGGGTTTCGACTGTGGAGATTATCTCTTCTGCATTATTTCCTATAGTCGGCAAGTGAGAAGCCTGAAGCTCGTTTGCCTCTTCCATATGACCATCTTCCAAATCATACTCGTGGGCTCCCATATTATTAATCCAGTCGTACAGTAGTCCACTCTTCATCGCTGTCTGTTCCCATTCCCTTCCAGGGAAGACAGATTCGTTAATTTTGACATGCCGCTCGTGAAAAATGTTCCCACTCTTGATATCCTAAACTCTGAAGTTTCGATGCGAAAGACTCCGTAGTAAGATTCCTCTTCTAGATTTCGCATCAAGTTTCTTTCTTTTAGACACAAAGCACCATATCTCACAACCGAAGTAACGCAGATTGCCGACATGTGGGACTTTGCCAGTCAGTATCTCTATAGGGGTGCGCCCTTCATTAGTTTGACTAGCTGTGACATTGCGAATAGATTTGGCTGTGCATACGGCCTCTCCCCAGAATTTATCCGGTAGGCCAGCATGTGATAGCATTGAACGTGCCATTTCCATCAAAGTGCGATTGAGTCTCTCTGAGACACCATTTTGCTGCGGTGTATACGGTGCGGAGGACTCCCACTCCATTCCTTCTTTCTCAAGGTATTTTAACATGCCTAGGTACTTTCCGCCATTATCAGAGTATATCCATTTGATTTGGCAATCGTACTTCCGTTCAAATTTGGCTTGGAATGATTTGAAACATTCCAGTGCTTCCCCTTTAGTTGCCATAAGAAAAACATCCTTAAAAGAGGAGAAAGAATCACTAAACGTTATGAAGAATGACTTGCCGCCCAAACTTGGAGTCGGAAGTGGACCACACACATCAGTAAAAATCACTTCTCCCGGTTTTGTCGCTGTATCCTTCCTGGCGTACAATGATAGTCGAGACTGTTTCCCTTCCACACACGGAACACAGGCTACATCATTCTGAGGAGTGTGTGAAAGATATTCCGGTCACTGCACCACGCTTTTCCATTTCTTTCAATGTCCGAAGGTAAACATGACCAAACTTCCAATGCCAGAGCTCTTCTCCCACAGTGCTTCCGACTGCAATGTCTGCTGTTTCCTCTGTGACTATATCTTTGAGAATATACAGACCATCTTCGAGTTGTGCAGTACAAATAGGTTCGTCTTTCATTGATATAGTGCGAAGTCCTTTACTGAATTGCGTTTCGTATCCATCTCGGTCAAGGGCCGAACAGGAAACCAGGCTGGTGTCCAGACCCGGGACGTACAGTACATTGTTGAGTCTCAGCGTCTTCCTATTGTCTTCAAAAACCCTTGCGCTGATATAAACTGAGCCTTTCTGATTTGATTTGATACTGTTCCCATCACCAAGCGTGACTATTCTCGTCTGTGAATTCACAATCTTTTCCAAAAGGCTATGATCTGACATCATGTGGTTACTTGCACCGGAGTCAACCACGGCATACTTCTTTGAGGTTTTTCCTTCTCTAGAGAGAAGAACCTTCTCCTTACTTCCAATGCCAAAGCTTTTTGTATTTACAGGAGCACTGTGCTCCTTTCTCGTCCAGTGCCTAGTCGTGCATGCCCGACATTCGCGCTTGAAGTGGCCAAAATTACCACATCCGTAACACTGGAGGTGAGCCTTGGTCTTTAAGGCTTTTTGGCTGATAGGTATATCGTTTTGTAGGACCCTTCCAAGATTTCTCTCGCAATTCAAAGAACTGTATTCTTGCAGCAGGCGTGCAGTTGCTCTCTCCCAAGAAAGATCCTTATCCGACATAGTCTGTAATGCTGTGATCACAGCTCCGTACGAAGAATCAGAGGTTCTGCCGAAACTAGCAAACAATATCGTTATTTGCATTGATTCGGTCACTGGACTTTCCATTACTTCTAGCTGATTAAAAATATTTTCAAAGCTGTCGACGTATTCAGACATGGTTTGAGATTTTTCTTGAAAGGACTGTTGGTAAAGCTCAGTCTGTAGCTGTACTCGTGTCGTAGTGTTCTGCGTTGCATACCTCTCATGTAGCTTCTTGTACATTTGAAAGGGATTCTTCCTCTCCCCAGCCACAGTGCGCAGCGGGTTATCACCGAGAGATTGGACCAATAAAGATTTCGCCTTCAATAACTTTGTCTTTTCATCAGGCGTCAGATCTTC